TCACAGGGAAGAGCTTCTGCCTCAGAGCTCATCTCAGTCTCCCCTCTGGCAGGTTCAAGCCATTCCCCTTGTCCTGTCCCTCCATCCCTTGTCCAAAGCCCCTCTCCAGGTCTCCTGGAGCCCCTTTAGGCTCTGGAGCTGCTCTAAGGTGTCCCCTTCAGGAGCCTTCTCTTCTCCAGCTGCCCCAGCCCAGCTCTCTCAGCCTGGCTCCAGAGCAGAGCTGCTCCAGCCCTCGCAGCAGCTCCGGGGCCTCCTCTGGACTCGTCCCAAGAGCTCCACATCCTTATTCACCCTATTTGAAATTGCTCTGGAAACCAATTCCGTAATGGGGAACGCCGAGAAGCCGGTTTAGCATTGACTGTCCCCAGCTCCAGGAGTTCCCCTCTGCAGCCACCTCTTCAGTGCTCCCCAGGAGCCAGGACACATCTCGGCTCATCCTCTCCTCTCCTGGGCCCAGAGCAGGAGTTATAAATAGGCTGAGCTGACTTTCCTCAGTAGTAAAACCAGGAGCTGCAGCACAGCCTGGGGCCAGTGGACTGGGTGAGGAAGAGGCACGTCTGCACCGGGAAGTCTGGGAATGCTGAAAGGAGCCGTGTGGATACAGGTGAATTGGGCCTTTTAAGCCGTGTTTCTGCTGGCAGGTCGGGCGCAGTCACCCAGCAGGTCTCCAGCACGTTGGAGATCTGGGTCCAGATGCTGTTCAAGCAGCTGTAACATAAGGAGGAAGCGAACAGGAGGTAAAACCCGGTGGTCAAGTCCCTGCGGGTGAGTTATTAAAGGAAATAAACAGCACCAACAATGATTAATGAAGCCGAGGCAGAAAACGCGACTGGGTTTGGCTCCGCTGCGTTCCCTGTTATCCTGAGAGAGGCTGGTTTGGTTTTGTTTTCAGTAGCAGAGCTATTTTGAGAAGGACTCTTTATATGGGCTGTGGCTGACACTGCATTGGAAAATGCTGCTTGTCATTAGTTTTTTCAAGTGCAGGGATTGCATCTTAATATAGGTCCTGTGTGAGGGACGTCCTCTCCTCCGTGGTCAAACAGCACATCCCTTTGGAAGCTGCAGTGGTTGCCCACAGGAGGAAAGCACTGCTGTATTTTTAGTGGCTCTTAATGCCCTCAGTGGTCGGGAGCTGATCCCAGTGATGTGCCGGCTCCCAGCAAGGTAAGGTCCCTTCCAACCCAAACCACTCTGTGGTTCTATGACTCTGTGATAACTTGTGAGTTCAGGTTTTGGCTGGTCCCCGTCCCGCAATGCACCACGCTGGTTGTTGCTGCAGTACAAAGCAGTTGGCATCTCCTGACCCCATGTGAGCTAAAGGCAGAGCAGCTGCTTGGAGCAACAGTCAAAACAGCTGGAAAAGTTTTCCTACTGTTCCAACCCAAACCACTCTGTGGTTCTATGACTCTGTGATAACTTGTGAGTTCAGGTTTTGGCTGGTCCCCGTCCCGCAATGCACCACGCTGGTTGTTGCTGCAGTACAAAGCAGTTGGCATCTCCTGACCCCATGTGAGCTAAAGGCAGAGCAGCTGCTTGGAGCAACAGTCAAAACAGCTGGAAAAGTTTTCCTACTGTTATTAGTGACAAACACAATATCCAAGGAAGCTGTTTCACAAGCAGGGGCTGGATGGGATATAACGAGTGCAAACAGAGCTGTAGCAACACATTTTATTGACCTTGGTTCCTGGTTTCCCCCCTGGCTGCCCTCAGGCTCATTCCAGCTGCCTGGAAAAGCCCCTCTCCCTGCCTGGCTCTTGCTGATGGAGCTGTGAGGTTCTGCCCTGTTGGGTGCTTCCCTCTTCACCCTGCTCACTGCAAGACAGCACCTCAAGGGGTTTGCTGGCGTCATCTACGTGCAAGGGGTGTGTGTGCCCCCAGGCTGGGCACAGCATCGGAGCACTGCGAGCTGGAGCAGGGCTCTTGTCTCCCTCTGAACCACCTGGAGAACAATAGTGGGCAGAAGGTGAACAGAAAACCAAGCCAGGGCTGGCACCCGGGTGTTTTGGGCAGGTCTTTCTTTAGAAACCAAGTGCTCTGCCCCCTTCACAGTCGTGGTTTAAATCTTGGCACATCCAGCGCCGAGGCTGTGTCTGATCCAGGCTGGCTCAGGACAAAGATGCCGCAGGGGGAGTTACTGGAGTGTTTGAAGCATCCTGGGAGAAGTTCCCCCTCCTCAGCCAGAGCCTGGGCTCTGTTTGGCATCTCGAGTGCCCCACAGCCCAGGATGGGTGTCAGGAGGGGAGCAGCACTCCCGACACCTCCCAAGTGGGGAAAGCACAAGGTCCTGAGGATGGTTGTGTCCTCTGCGAAGGGGAGAGGAGGGCGCACACCTCTGGGAATACCCAAGGAAATACAGGATCCAGGGGACAAAACAGGACTTGGAGCTTTAGGATCAGTTTTCGGTGCTGCCAGAAGGACTTTGGGCAAGTCCTTTCACCACACACCTCAGTTCTCCACCTGCAGATGGGCCTAATGATGCTGCTCCAGTCTTTGATGTCTTCTCCCAAGCAGTGCTGTGTAAGAGCAGGGAATTGCTGACAGTAGCTCCCCTTTTCTTGCTCCCAGGGAAGCGGGGGGCTGAGTCGCACGGGGGATCCAAGCTCCTGCTTGTCCTGTTTGTTTTGCCCATCCATGGCTTCCCAGAGCCACCTTCTGGGGTTTGTTTTCCCTTGAGCTTCAATGAGTTGGGGCTGAGGGAAAAAAGCCGAGCCCTGGGAGCTGCAGCACATCCTCTGCAGCAGCAGCAGGAGGGGGAGGTTCTCCCCACTTCTCGCCGCGGTGTCTGCGCTTGGAGCAGGATCATGTTTTTCATTTCCCTGCCTGGCTCCCTTGTGGAAGACTCATTCTCTCCATGCCTTGTTTGCCCTGCAGGTAGACCTGCAGGCCTGCACGTACCCATGCCAGTGTCCCTCCCAGCCCGCGCAGTGCCCCGCCGGCACCAGCCACGTGTTGGATGCCTGTGGCTGCTGCAAGGTGTGTGCCAGGCAGCTCGGCGAGCTCTGCTCCCTGCAGAAGCCCTGTGACCATCACAAGGGACTCTACTGCGACTTCTCCAAGATCCACAGAGGCAGCGGGATCTGCTTAGGTGAGAGCCGTGCGTCGCTGTGCGCTCGTGGCCCTTCCAGACCTCCCAGGAATCCCTCGGCAGGCTCAGAATTCCCTGCAGCACTTGGAGCTCCATCCAGCAGCACCCAACAAGGGCTGCGCCAGCCCCGGCTGCCAACAGATCCCCTGATACCAACACACACACAGAGCCTGCTTCCTCCTCTTCCGTGTTTCCAAAGGCCTGTGTGGGGTTTGGGATGCTCCTTTGTTCCTCTGCAGTTGGTAGGAGCAATCTCCTAGTCCCGGAGTGCCTGTGGGTAAGTGCCACCAGTCCGGACATGGACTGGGAAGTGTTTCCAGGCAAATCTCCCCACCGTGCACTGGGGGTTGGCATTTTGCACTCAACTGCTTAAATGCAAGAGCCACGAGGATGGGAACAGCTGAACAAAAAGAGTGTGTCTGTAGAAATGAGACTTACTGAGCCAGGTAAACACGAATGATGGAAGGGTTTGGGTTGAAGGGACCTTAAAGCTCCTCCAGCCCCAACCCCTGCCCCGGGCAGGGACACCTTCCACTAGAGCAGGTTGCTCCAAGCCCCTGTGTCCAACCTGGCCTTGAACACTGCCAGGGATGGGGCAGCCACAGCTTCTCTGGGCACCCTGTGCCAGCGCCTCAGCACCCTCACAGGGAAGAGCTTCTGCCTCAGAGGTTGTCTCAATAGAGCTGTTTTCTCTCTGCTGGTGCCTCTTTTCAGCCAGCAAAGAAAAATCTGGTTGATTTGTGATTGTTTTGTTCAGTCGCTGTTTTTAGCGTATGCAGAGACTATTTTGGTGGAGAGGAAAAAACCCCAACGATCTCCTGAGCCTCCCACTCTGCCTAAAACTGAGACTCCTCTGCCTGGAAAGTCAACATGAGCACTTAGGGAAGGGATCAGCCACCGCAAGGGGCACCTCTGGAGTCACACACACTTGGGGTTTGACTCTAAATAATGGATTTAACTTGGAGAAGGGCTCTTCTCCATTCCCATGAGAAGTTTTGGTAAGTTGTCTAGTTTCCCTCCCCCAGTTACTGTGATCTTTAGAAGCCACACGAGCTTCCTTGTACCACGTGTAGGCCTGGGTAAACCTGAGAGCTGAAGTTTGGAGCTGAGGAGGATTAATGTAGGTGGAGTAACACCCAGTGGGTGTAAACTGTTGACTGCCTGGTTAAGACTGGAAATGAGGTGTCTGTAGAGTAAAGGTAGTTAAATGGCTGGAACAACTTACTCAGGAGCGTGGAGGAGGCTCCGCCTCAGACTTCACATGGAGACTGGACACCTTTCCAGTAGAAGTGATTCGTGTTCCCCATGACACAGGGTTTGAAACAAACAATTGGGGAAGAGATCCCCAGATCCCTCCTGTTAGAAAATCAGACTTGAAGATCACAACTGTCCCTCCTGCCTTTGAATGAGAAATGGAGATTTTCACAGCAGAAATCCCAGGTGCACATAGACCAGGGTATCTCCCGAAATTGGAGGGAGGGTTTGGGCCATAATGTGCTTGGGTGGTATTTTTGTGGTGGAGTTGTGGCTGCCCCATCCCTGGCAGTGTTCAAGGCCAGGTTGGACACAGGGGCTTGGAGCAACCTGCTCTAGTGGAAGGGGTCCCTGCCTGTGACAGGGGTTGGAGCTGGAGGAGCTTTAAGGTCCCTTCAACCCAAACCAGGCTGGGATTCTGTGAATGATGAATCAAACAGGGAGAGATCAATGTCTCTGAACAGAGAAGGGAGTACTTACAGGTAGAGAAATCAGACAGATGTGATGGGAGCAGAAAGGAGCAGAGAGGTGTTCAGGTGTCATGGGAAGAGCTTCTAGGCTGGGGATGAGCCCAAAGCTCATCCCAGAAGAGACAGGAAGGGAACCATCGGGGTGAAAACTGCTGTCTATTTGTTTAATGTTATCTCAGAACACAGCATTTCATGTATCACGAATGAATCCTTCCCTTCCTGTAGAGACCTTGGAGTATCAGGAAGATAAAGATGATCCTGTAGTAAGTCTAGAGTAGGAGAGCCTCGGGGTGTTGGGGTGGGTGCAGGGAGCTGGCAGAGCTCAGCAATGGGACCTCTGCCATATTCCCTGCGGAAAAGGGCAAAAGTCTTCTTGGCGGGACGGGAGGTGCCCAGCGGGGCTGGTAAATCAAGAGCTGTCCCATTCCACTGGTGCAATCCACGTTGGTGCTTTAATTGGATCAGGTCGAGGGGAAAGTGAGGTCATTGGAGGGTAAGGAAGGGCACAACAGAAGGGTTGAGGTTTGAAAACATAACAGAGCCCTGAGCAGGCTGTTCCAGGGCTGGGAGGAGTGGGAACAAGGGAACAGCACAACCAGTTCACTGGGAAGGGAGAGGGCTAGAAAACACAGAGAGGGTTTAAAAATAAGCCTGAATGGTTGTGGAGAGGGAAAGCGGATGGCTTCCATTTCCATGGAAAAAGTGAGCGTGGAGACTTCCGAGTAGGAGCTCAGGAGTATTTTTATCCCAATGGCATTGACAAGAGTTGCAGGTTGAGGTCCAGCTCTGGTTAGAACCACAGCGTTAGCAGCCCGGAAGGGTTTGTGTCCCCTCAAGGACTAGGTGGGATGGAAAGAGGCTCTTGCTCCTTGTTTGCTCCAAACACTTTCTGCCTGAGACAATATTCCACGGGCGAGCAGGACTAAGGGGAAAATAGATCAGGTTTCCTGGTAAGCCTCTGCAGGCAGCCAAGAATCCTTCGTGCTGGGAACTTCCCAATAGAGGTTTGTTTTGTAAGGGTCAGGATTGCATGCATCAGCAGCTGAGGAGAAGTGGCCAAAAGCAGGATTTCTGTCCTGTTAACCGCTCCGAGATGTCAACATTTCAGGCTGAAAAGATAAAACAAGAAAGAAAGATAAAGAAACCCCTCCCCAGACTTTTCGTGAGTTATTGAAATACATCAAAACTTCCCACTTCCATGATATCAACAGGTTTCATCTCCATCTTTACAGTATCTAAAATAATTGCCCAAGCAAAATGCTTCCCTCTGTGGATACCGTCCAACGGGTGTTTTGGGTGAGCTCTTGTAAGAGCATAAAGGAAACCTTTGATAGCCAGTTGAAACACTTCACTTGTTTCTCTTGGAAAACATTCCTGACATTGGTCCGGGCCTGCAAAACTCTCAATCAAATACAAGTTTTTGGCTGGAAAACTTCCACTGGAGGAGTTTGGGCTCCTCTGGATGTCAGAACTTGAGCGCTGCTCGTGCCCATGGGCTGGAGGTGGCTCCTGCTGCCAGAGGTTGTGGTGGTTCCTTGTTTTGCTCATTGAAGTTGTATTGGGAAGGAGTGACCGGCTCGTGGGAGGGCTGGAGATGAGAGAGCTGGAGGTCAGAACAGGGTGAAATCAGAGAAGTTGTGACTGGAAGGAAGAAGAGACTCGCACATCACAGAGGAGCCAAAAAGGTCATAAACCAGAGCGCTACTTTCCTTCTGTAGGTGCCTTTAGGCATCTCCCCTACCATCTGCTCAGCTTCTCCTTTCTTCCTTCCCACAGCTCACGAGGGTGCAACTTGTGACCTGCTGGGCAAGATCTACCACAACGGGGAGAGCTTCCAGCCCACCTGCAAGCTGCAGTGCATCTGCATGGACGGGGCCATCGGCTGCACCCCGCTCTGCTCCGACGACCTGCGGCTGCCGTCCCCCGAGTGCCCCAACCCGCGGCGGGTCAAGGTCCACAACAAGTGCTGCGAGGAGTGGGTCTGTGCGGGGGGCAGCGAGGAGAACCGCTTGGACACGGCCATGGCGGGTGAGTGCTGCGCCCATGGGCTGGCTGGGGGGAGACGGATCCAAACTGCCTTTGGATCGCGCCCCTGACTTGTGTCTGCTTCGGGGATGGTGGTGGCTGCTCTCTGTGTGTGGGCAGCAAGTGCTCAACTCCAGATGCATCAAGGTGAGACCTCGGTGGTGCTGTGGGGAGGTTCATGCGCCCTCGCCGGGCTGGGGTAGGAAATGTCCTCACGCTTGGCTGCATCCTTCATCAGAGTAGCCCATGGGGTGGATCAGCCCTTTGCTGCTGTTCCTGAAGAGTTATACCAAGCTGGGAGCATCCCAAATGTTGTCCCAAGCGCTGATCCTTGCCTTGTGGCTCAGTTTTCAGGGAGGATGCAGCACACAAGCCAGAGCTGAACAACCTGCAGGAGAACTGCTTGGTGCAGACCACGGAGTGGAGCGCCTGCTCCAAGAGCTGTGGCATGGGCATCTCTGCGCGGGTGACCAACGACAACCCCCAGTGCCGCCTGGAGAAGGAGACCCGGCTCTGCATGGTCCGGCCCTGCGACTTCCCTGTGGACACAGCCAAGGTACAGCTCCCTGTGACCTGGCTTCAGCGTGTTCTTGGAGCCTAGAACCCCCGCTTTGTGCTGGGTGCACCCCCAGAGTGTGAGCAGCAGGTTGAGGAAGTGGTTCTATATCCAAAGCCTGTAGAAGCTGTGGCTGGCCCATCCCCGGCAGTGTTCAAGGCCAGATTGGACGGAGTTTTGGGTGACGCGGTTTAGTGCGAGGTGTCCCTGCCCATGGCAGGGGGTGGAACTGGGTGATCTTAAAGTCCTTTCCAACCCAACCCATTCTGTGATTCTGATTCATCTGACCGTCGTGTCCTTGTCTGCTCTCTCCCTAGAAGGGGAAGAAATGTGTGCGGACCCCAAAGCCACGCCAGAGCCTCCACTTTGAGTTCTCGGGCTGCACCAGCTCCCGTTCCTACCGGCCCAGGTTCTGCGGGAGCTGCACGGACGGGCGCTGCTGCACCCCGTACGTCACCAGCACCGTGGAGGTGGAGTTCCGCTGCCCCGAGGGCGACTTCTTCCAGCGCAAGATGATGTTCATCAAGATGTGCTCCTGCCACCACGACTGCCCCCGAGACAACGACATCTTCCTGGCCACCTACCACAGGAGGATGATCGGAGACCACGTCAAGACCGACGGGCAGTAGCCCTCCCCTCGCCAGACCCACAGGCTGAGGTGTCAAGAGGGCTCTGCAAGCGCTTTTGTGGCTGCACCCCAGGACAGCGCAGCCTCTTCCCCCTCTGTGAGGGGCTGTGTGTGCTCTTCGGGACCACGCTGTTCACCACCAGTGGTCCAAGCGTTGGGAGAACAGCCCCGTCTGCTCCGGGCTCCCGACCTTCACCCGTGCTGCCACCCGGGTCAGGGAAGGAGCCAGAAACAGGCTCGAGCTGCCAACTTGATCCACGCTCCCGCGGGCTGGACGGGAGAGCGGATACGAGCCCCGCGCCGCCCCCGCGT